ATATTTTGGTAGTGGAAAAAAAATAAGAGAGAGAAAGGTAAAGATATAAAATTGCCCATGTGACATATTGTTAAATTAAAAAGTACGGAGTAAGTGTGAAAAAATAAGGGTATGTTGGATAATTATAATGCGAACACAAATAATTTTTTTTCTAAAGAGAAAATGGTGCAATATTTGTGAAACTTCCTAAAAAGACAAGTGGTGCAATAAATCAATAATAAAAGAACAGAGGAAATAAAAAAATTGGAGTATTATATTATTGGCCATCTCATGTATGAAACAATTTTTTCTATATGCCTACTAATTTGATATAAGGATTAACTCTCTTAACAGGCATCATTTATAGAACACTATATGCTAATTTGACGTATTACGTACCTTCATTTCAAGATATTTACACTATTTTGACTTTTGTCATTCATTTATCTTACTTTTACTCTTTTTTCTACTACTCCGTAATATATAAATGCTCTGTAATATTATTGGATTTATTTAATTACACCGAACGACGCATGATTTTGTCTTGAATTCCTAACTTTATACCATTTCAACCAATATAATTTATCCTAATCTAACGCCCCGGGGCGCTCGTTAGCAAGATCCTTTATTTTAGGGCATGTTCTCATTGACTGAACTCAGCTGAACTGAACTGAACTGAAATGAATATTTTATAAGAGAAGGAAATTAGGAGTTGAACTGAACTGAGCTGAAATGAATTGAGCTGAACTAAACTGAACTGAACTGAACTGAACTGAGCTAAACTGAACTAAACTGAACTGAACTGAAATGAATATTTTATAAGAGGAGGAAATTAGGAGTTGAGCTGAACTGAACTGAACTGAACTGAAATGAATATTTTATAAGAGAAGGAAATTAGGAGTTGAGCTGAAATGAACTGAACTGAACTGAACTGAACTGAATTTCAACGTAAGAGAACAGACCCTTAATGTACATATTCAATGTATTACTCGTAGCCTTTATATAACTTATATAGTTATACTACTCCGAGTAATTCATTGAATAATAGTGCATTAAAAATTTAAAATACATTGAATAAATACTCCGAGTAATATAATAGACATGGAGTGTGTATTTGTTTTGAGGCTCAAAGTTAACCTTAGGCAAGTGCAAAATTCAAATTAAAATAGTGTAAATATTTCGAAATGAATTAAGTATTACTACCTCCATCTCCGAAAGAATGATCCATTTGGCCTAATTTTAGTCCCAAAAAGAATGACCCATTTGCATTTAAACACCCACCAATTTACAACAATATTTGTTCAAAATTAGATTTTCCATATAAAAAATTTGATTTTCCATGTAATTTTATTACTTTCTCTCTCTATTTTTTTTACAAACCCCATGTGAATTTATCTTTTCAATATACTTTTACTTTTTTTATTTAACTTTCTTACTACCCGCGTAATCAACCCAAATGGATCGTTCTTTCGGAGACATAGGGAGTATGTGATAAGAAATTTATAATGTGTGCTCATGGGCACACAATAAAATCTACAAGATTAATTATTCCTTACTCTAGGTTTTTTTTTTTTTTTTTGAACGAATTCCTTACATTAGGGCCTGTTCACATTTACTTAAATTCAGTTCAGTTTAGTTCAGCTCCAATCATTTCAGTTCAGTTCAGCTCCAATCATTTCAGTTCAGTTCAGTTCAACTCTTAATTTCCCTCTCTCATAAAATATTCATTTCACCTCAGTTCAGTTAGTTCAGTTCAGCTCATTTCATTAAATGTGAACAGGCCCTTAGTGTATGTTTTATTCATCACCTACTTTTAACTTATTTCGAGAAAAAAAAAAATTAAGGTCAAATAATACCAAACAAGGTATTTCCCTCAAAAAAGAAAAAAAAAACTAAACAAGGTATTATTTTAATTAAATGAAAATAGTTTCATACTTAATTATTTTAATTTGATGAAGTATACATTTTCCTTACGTTCACTGTTTCACAATTTACAACTTTTTTTTTTTTTTTTTTTAATACGGATTATGGTTTTTCTTTAAATTTGGGGTAGAAGTAAATGAAAACTATACTTTCCTTCAAAAAAACAAAATGAAAACTATACTTTAGTAATTCGAACCAAATTTAACTTCTAAATATTTTTTCCGTACAATCTTGAACTATAGATGGGGTTAAGCGTTAACTAAGAATCAAATAAGAAGAGCGTTAACTAAGAATCTCAAATAAGAAGACTTTATTGTACTTTAGAGTAGCCTAGTAAGATGGAGTGTTGGAGACACGAGCTTCTTAATTATACTATTCTAATAAAAAAGTAGTGTTATATGATGAAATAATGATGAAAAGAGCATAATTAGGAAGACTTAAACATGGGATTTGACCTAATTAACTTATACATGACCCTCATGATTCTTAATTAGTTGAACCCAAATGTAGTTGGAAGAGTCAAGTTAAAGAGAATAAGTGGGAAATGTTTGGTTGTAAGTAGAAACCACAAGAAAAAAGGATAAAAAGTGAAGAAATTTCCATTTAAGAAAGCAAATGAAAAACGAAAACGAATGGTGCGAGAAAAAGAGTTATTCTCCACCGTTAGGTTGGCATATTCTCTGTTGCATACAAGTATATTTTTGTGATTTTCTTTGAAAGCTACATTTCTGGTTGTCTCTCAAATTGTACCAATGTTTATTTATTTATTTAATCACACTTCTTTTCACTTTAATTGCTCTTTCAATTCTTTTGGTGATGGTGGGTGGGTGGTGTGCTATGAGGATCCCAAACCCCACGTTACATAATTAAATTTGCAATTCTCTATAATTTAGATTGTACCGTTCCAATGAATGATGTACACTTATATTATACGTAGTATATCGAACTTGTAAAGATAAACAATATTGACCAAAAATAAAAGCAAAAGCTGTACTAGTAGAAATTGGGATTAAAGATTTAAATGGTTGTTAAAAGTTGAGAAGACGACAACTCAACTGATTGATCTACATACTATTGTATTAGATTATTCGACCCTTACAAGATCTACTTCTTGTAGGTATTTAGTTTGAACTGAATAATTCAATTGGACTTGATCTTTTAATTAAATTAACTTTAGCGAGTCCGATCACTTAAAGTATTGGAGATAAGAAATTCCTTCCATCAACCACAAAAGAAACTACTTGTATTAGAATTTGACTGATCTCATGCGTTTGAGTTAATGTCTCTCATAAATATATGTACTATTACAAAAAGTAGTTTTTTTTTTTATTTTATTTTTTTTTAATTTTTTTTATTTTTTTTACAAGAGCAAAAAGTAGTTTTTATTGTGGAGTGGACTACGTTGCATTCTGATTATGCATCTTGATTTTGATTATTTTGACCGTATATAAGGTACTTTTGGGTTACTTGGTCTTCAAATCTTGTCGAATATTGTTTCCACCTTTATATGTTGCCAACACGGCAATATATAAGCAAATTGGTGGAATTTGAAGAATAGAGTGTCCACGTACATTGAGACATGTAAGATAAGGTGAAGTGAACTGAACTGAACTAAAGTATTTATGAGAGAAAGAAGTTAGAAACTGAACTAAAATTAAGCTGAAGAGAACATGTCCTAAAATCATGGGAAAGATTAAAACCACGGGAAAGCGTCATAGTTCAGACCCACAGTTAAACGAAATAAGTGGTATATAAAATTTGAAAATCCCGACTTTTGAAATTTAATTATCTTTGTTTTATAATATTTGCAATTTTAGATTATTTTATCTCTCAAATACATAAAGTTGTAAACAATTTGAAATGGATGTGGGTCCTGTTCACTTTACCTTATAAAAGAAATTTCAATAAAAATTATTTTAGTTCCATATATATAATTTCAATTCAGTAAAAATAAATTTAGTTTAATTAAAATAAGTTTTAGTTCGGTAAAAATAATATTAGCTTAGTAAGAATCAGTAAAATAATTTAAATTCAATAAGAATAATTTTAATTCAATAAAAAAGTTTTTGGACAATTCATATAAGACGTATATAAATTTTTGTAATTTTCATTTAAGTGAATGGACATAACAATTTATGGAATTTTATATATTTTATATATTATAAGGGTAGCTAACGCACATGATGCACAGACATAGGACATAGCTAGTCATGTTTAAGTATCTCTTTCAGTTTGGTTTTATGTTATCACTTTAATTAGTTGATGGTAATATTAATTAGGGAAAGTATGTAAAAAAAAATTTTAGGGGAAATGTCCTCACTCTATTTTTTAGAGTTTAATAGAAGAGTCAACTAACATTAATAAGGGCAAATAAGTAGATAAACATTTTAAGGGTATAATTATTCAAATAATATTTATAATAAGCAAGCCAAAAAGCTATGTATGAGAGAGAGAGAGAGGCCAAAAAGCTATGTATGGTAGAGAGAGAGAGGCGGGGGTAAAATTATAAAGTTATCCATGTAAAGTAAACATAAACTAAAGAATTGAATAAAGCTACAAAAAAAGGTCGGGTATATTGGGTATTTGAATTGGGGAACATATATATTTTGTTTCCTAAAATGAATGTGGTGCAATATTTGTAAAGCTTCCTTAAAAGACAAGTGGTGCAATAAATAAAAGATGAAGGAAGTATGTAATTAGACATTTTAAGGAACATAGTTGGAATAACACTATTTATAATTGTTTGATTAAACTCTTACAAAGGTAGGGATAAGTGGATGGATTCACGGTAAACCAACTGACCTCCTAATTGATACTTTGTGTTTGTAAACCATAATACTCATAACCCACGAGGATGCAATATCTAATACTACCTCCGTTTTTTTTAGTTAACACGTTTTGACTTTAGCACTATTCACACACCTCCCTTTGACCGTGTTTTGTGCTTTATACCTAATGAAAAATATAGTCACGTGGGATCTTGTTATCTTTGTCACGTTATATACTTTCAAAATATCAACTTTTCATAATTTTTGTTTATCGATAATTAAAGATATTAATGATTGAATAAGTGCATTGGCAAATGTGACTAAAGAAACATGTCAACTAAAAAGAAACAGAGGAAGTATCTAGGATTCTTGAAAGTATTCCAAATGTGATTCTAATTGATGATTTCAACAAATTAGAATACCTTTCGGATAAACTAGGCGGTAGTTTTTCTACACCAGACATATTTTATTTAGTGGCGTTCTAGATTGGACTTGGTGGATGTTCCGTTTTCTAGTCCTAAGTACACTTGGACTAATAATAGGACTGATTCCGATCCAATATTTGAAAGGTTGGATAGGGCCTATGCCACCTCTTCTTGGTTTCTTGATTACCCTGATACAAATGTTCTACACCAACCTATTTTGCTCTCGGATCATGCCTCTATTATCCTTTTGGATACAGTTGATTTTGGGTACGTAAAGCGACCTTACAGGGTGGAGAATCGGCGTTTGTCTGTTTTAGAGGTTAGAGCCATTGTTCTTGATGTCGTTTCTCTGTTTGTTCCGGGTTTACCTATGTTCTCTCTATATAGGAATTTGTCAATTGCTAGAGAATGACTATTAGATTAGTGTGTTTCTCACAAATGAGTTTAGGGGATTAATTGGAAATCTCTATTTTCAGAAGTTTTTGAAGATTATGTGACTTTGTCTATGCACATCGATTGTTGTCTCTTTCTCACTATAAAAGAAAAGAAAATTGCAAAGGCACAAACAATCTACCTTTTTTGGCGTCAGCAGGAGAAAGTAAAATGGGATTCCATGGGAGATTCTCAATCTCGTGTTCTTTTTTCCTTGATGCCGTCTAGAAAGCGTCATAATAAGATTTATGGACTAAGATATTCCGCTGGTACCTGGTAACGAGATTCGGGATGCATCGCTTCTATAGCCTTAGCCTTTTACAGGGATCTTTATTCAGATTTTGGTATTGCTTAATTACTCCTAAATTTCTAAATGGTAGGAGATCTGCAGTTACCATCTCTCTCTTCAGCTCAGCAACAATCACTTATGGATCCTTTTACTCCTCGAGAAATTAAAGCAGCAATTTTTGGTATTGATGACAACAAATCTCCTGGCCCGAATAGGTTTCCATAGGCCTTCTTTAAGACTCATTGGTTTGAGGTCGGAACATTTGTTGGCTTAGCGGTTCAGCATTTCTTTGTTCATGGTTACTAATTAAAGGAATGGAATCGTACCTTCCTCGTTCTTTTCCTGAAAGTTGATAAATCTGAGCTAATCTCTCAGTTTCAGCCTATTGGTTTATGCAACGTGATTTGTAAATGTATTGCGAAGTGCCTAACTGGGCGGCTTTGCTAAGTTTTTCCAGTTCAGTGGCTGATTCTCATACTGCTTTTATTCCTAGTTTTCTATTATCAGATAATGTGTTGATAGCACACAAGGTCATTTCATTTATGAATACCTCAAAGGCTAAAAAGAGACTTTATGTAGCCATCAAGTTGGATGTGAATAAAGCGTATGAAAGGGTCGTCAAATGGGATTTCTTGTCTCAAGTTCTACAGATTTACGGGTTTCCGCCTTATTAGATTCATATATCATCCGTCAGTGCATTTCTACCGTTTCTACCAGGTAATTTTCACCGGCTTTTTAACCTTAGTGTGGTCTTCGACAGGGGGATCTTCTTCCTTCATATTTGTTTGTTTTGTGTATGGAAGTTCTCTCTTCTATACTTCAAAAAGCTGAGAGGGATTCTCTGACTTGGAGACTCTTCTTCATATACCTAAGGGTCTAGAGGGTTTAGGTATTCGTCATCTATAAAATTTCAAATATTCTCTTCTTACTCGGCAATTATGTTGGTGTATTCACCATCACCCCCATCTTTTGGTTTCTGTGCATCTTATTGCCAAGTACCTTGCTCTTTAATCTTTTAAGACTCGTACGTTTTCTAAATATTCTTGGGGTTGTTAGAGTCTTTTAACAGGCATGTCAATCCTCGATCGGGGTTTATCTTGGACGGTTAGTTCAGGTTCCCACGTTCGAATCCTAGAGGACAATTGTGTTCCTGGGGAACCTGTGGTTTTTCGTAGTAATTTTAGTGTATCGACTCTCCCGGCACAAGTATCTTTTATTATTAATTCTCATTCTTATGCGTGGGACTTGTATTTCATTCATCGAGTATTTAATACCCATACAACTCTTTGAATTCTGGCTTCAGACTGCCCAAGTCAACTGATGGAAGATTTTGTATATTGCAAAATTTTCTCGAGATGGATTTTTTCCACTAAATTTGTGTATGCTTTCCTCATGAGTCATCTGGGGACTTCTAGGGTTTTGAGCATGATCCCATTCTCTTAGTGGAAGTGTTTATAAGGTTTGCCTCTTCTTTCAAAACCGTAGTATTTTTGCTGGAAGTTACTTCAGAAAGCTCTACCCTTATCTGCGACTCTACAGCTTTAAGGGATCCCGGTGAATCCAATTTGTGTGTTTTCCTTTCAAGGGCACGAAACATCAGCACATCTTTTTTGTGATTGTCCTTTTACCACCCAACTTTGGCTACGACTCCGCTTGCTTTTTCTCTTCCTTTTTCACTACTAGAAATAGGCCGAATTCCGACGGAAAAATTCCGTCGAAAACATCCTGAAATCCGTCGGGATCAGGGTTTCCGACGAAAATCCGTCGGAAATAGGGTTTCCGACGAAAATCCGTCGGAAATAGGGTTTCCGTCAGAAAAGGTTGTCGGAAAAGCAGTTGTAGGAAAAATGAACTTTTTCGACGAAAATTTCGTCGGAAACACTATTCCGACAGAATTTTCCGACGAAAAAATATTTTCAGGCACTGCAACAATCCCACGGATTCAATTCGGTCGGAAATTTCCGACGGAAATTCCGTCGAAAATTGCTTTTATGAAATTTAAAAAAATACGCCGCGCCACCACCGTCACGGCGTATCACCACTTCCAACCACCAAAAAACCCAACATCAGACACCGCCACAACCACCAGCCCCTAACTCGTATCAACAGTCCTGAACCACCCCACCACCCACAACCACCAGATCTACCACCAAACCCGAAAAAATTAACAAAAAACAAAGAAAAAAAATTAAAATGAAAACTTGAAACCCGAAAAAAATGAAAACAAAACAAAAAATGAAAACACAATGAAAAAAAATTAACAAAAAAAAGAAAAAAAAATTAAAATCCCAACACCCTAAACCCGAACTTCAACAGCCACCATAACCACATATTTTTGATCTAGTAAACTTGAAACCCGAAAAAAAATGAAAACAAAACAAAAAAAAGTTGAAATTCAGACCAAAAAATTTACCACAACGATTCAAAGTCTTGAAATTGGTCTTAAAATTGGTTATATAAAGCCAAATTTGACCATGGAAACGCTAGATGTAGCATTTCCATGGTCGAAATTGACCTTAAAACCACAACATGCCGGGAACTTGGTCGGGAAATACATCGGGGTGCTTCGTAGGCTAGCTTCGGAATTCAACAATGGAGGAGAGATAAAGAGAAGAGAGGGAGTAGCAAGAGAGGAGAGATGCAGAGAGAAGGTAGATGAAGAAATAAGAGAGAGAGGGTGTGCGGCTAGAGAGAGGAGAGAGAGAAAGGAAACTGAAAGAAGAGAGAGAGGGAGTGCGTTTTTAGGGTTTTAATTAGCTTTTTATACGAATTTTTTTTGTTTTTTTTTTTTAAATATTATCAAATACCTTTTCGACGGAAATTTTCATTGGAAATTATTTTATTTCTGACGGATTTTTCCGTCGGAATATACTTTCCTACGAAATTTCCGTCAGAATTTTATTCCGTCGAAAATTTTGCGATTTGCGACGAATTTTCGTGTCCGTCGGAATTCGGCCTATTTCTAGTAGTGTTTGTCATTGTAGGGAATATTTCAAGCCATCCCACACTTGAGCCCTACTGTGATCATACACTTAAGCATGGTGGCGTCCGGATGGAAAAAAGCTAGAGTAAAAGAGTCGCCAACAAGTTTTAGGAACTTGTAAACCGTTCACAGGGTGAAGGTTACAACCCTTAATGATCCAGGAGATCATTAACTCCAATGACTAGAAGTTTGGGGATGAAGGTACAAATCCGACCTTAAAGAGATTGAACCTGCCCTAAAAATATGCCTCTACTTTATTATTGTTGTATTCATGTGCGCTTTCTGACTAACATACAATCAATAGATTTACCCTGAACCTGTTAATCTATGTTGGTTGAATATTAATGTACAAATAAATCTATCATTGACGATCACTTGAATTATAATCATATTAGCCTAAACAAGATTATTAATTATTTTATTAAGCGTGATTACAAGTACGAATTCCCTTTGAACATGCATAAAAGGTGTGATCAAGCAATAACAATAATAATCGTCAAGCAACATAATAATCATCATAATAATAATCACAATTAAAATAATCATGTTAAAGAATAATATTAATAGCAAGATCCTAGGCATGATACTAACAAGATTAATAACAAACCCTAGCATGTCACTAAATATTAAAGATCAAAGCTTGATCCCTAACATGATACTAACATGATATTGGGAAAGAAATAGGAAGCATCATAATATCATACTTGATATTAGAAATTTTAGTTATTATCCTAAACATGATACTAGGAAGCGATAAAAACATCGTAACATGATACTAGGAATTAATAAAGTAATCTAAGCATGATTTCTATAAAACAATTACACTTTGTTTGGATAGGAAGAAATAGAAGGAAAAGAAGAGAAGAGAAATGGAGGGGGACAAAATCTCTTGTTTGGGTAAAAGATTGGGGGAAGGAAGGGGAAGGAGAGGGAGGGATCCATTTTCCCTTTTTCTATAATAACCATAATCTCTCCAAAATAGGAGAGATTTGGAGGGAAAATGGAGCTCACCTCTCCTCCATTTCTTTTCCCTTCCCTTCCTCCATTTTCCATCCCCTTCTTTTCCTTCCTTCTTTGCTATCCAAACAAAGCGTTAAAGTACTTACTTTGATGCCTCGTATCTCTTTCTAATAACAAAAAACACACGTTAGTAACTTCAAGGAAAATAATAAATCAAACAATTAAATAATTGAAATAGGGATTTGGGACCAAACCCTAAGAAATTATCAACCTTTCACGTCTAGGACAAAAGCAATTTCGAACTTGGCTAGGTGTGTCTAGGACTAATGAGTGAGGAATTTTGAGAGAGGAAATGTTTAGGAAAAGAAGAGAGAGAGAGAGAAATCTTCTACCTTTTAGAGAGAGAGAGAATAGAGAGATGATTGTTGTGAATTGTAGATTGTAGATGATTTGAAAACAGGGAAATATGACCCATATTTATAGGAAAAATAGCACGGGATCAAAGAAAATCATATTCTGAATAAAATACCTCATGTCGCCAACGACGGGAGCCAGCTCCAAACGACAGGCTCGTCGCTAGACGACAGCTGCAGCGCCAGGCGACGAAGATTAGCGCCAGGCGACAACTCTGTAGTCTCGCGCTAATTCAAAAGTACAACGCGCTTTTACACACGAAATTACCTTTTAAACCGGTTACAGGTAATTCTGTGTCCAAGCAGATTTAAATCAGATTTAATATATTTTATTCAAAACAAAACATCTTTTAAAGTATAATTATCAATCCTAATCTCATTAGAATTAAAGAGAACCTTCTAGATATTCTTAGAAGACCAAAATCAATCCTAATCATTTTAGGAATAATAATTAATAGACCCTCCTCTAGATCATTGGGCCACATTTAAAATCATTAAGAGAAATATTTTAATAAAAACATCCTCATCACTAGACTTTTCACACTTTCACTTCGTTCGATAATTAAATGACGTGAAAGGTATTCATCACTGGGTTTGGTTTTGGGGAGACACATTTGGGTGTCTACAGGCATGCAAACCTTTTACTGATTGTTTTTGTAGATACAATCACGAAGCTTTGTTACTCTCATAATTGGAATGGATTGGTGTCCTTTATCTCTCTCTTTTATGTAAAATGGCTTACGTGTAACCACAAGATTTTCCACCAAGTAGTGATGTCTCCCGCGACAGTTTTCCAGTTGATGTAGGATTAGATTTTAGAAGTACTTCAGCACGTGTGTTTACTTCCACCATCCACTCTCTAGAGAGATCTTCCCATTCCGTCCTGGTAGCTTCTGATTCTTGTTTTCTACAAGGTAACTCTTGCTCTACGTTTGATGTTTGTGTTATTTTTATGGGGCTTGGAGTTCCCCAGGATTTTAGAGTCGGGGTAGGTTGGATATTTAGAGATGTCGGTACGGAGTCTGTATGGGCCGGGGCGGTTACTCCAAAGCTTGTTACTCTTCTTCAACTCTTCAATCTAAGTTAAAGGCTTGTTTATGGACTCTTCGGGTTGCTGACCATTGTGGTTTTCATCGTCCACTTATCTATACCGACTGTTCACACCATTTTTCTCTACTTTGGGATAGACGTGATCAGAATATTTTCATCGTTTGGTTGCTTCGAGATCAGACATTCGTTTGTTGCTTTAAAGTTTTTCTGTTTGCATGATCCACAAGATCCCTCGGCACTGGGTTCTCCAACTCATTGGTTGGCTTTTCAGGATCATTGACGGCGATTGCTTTTTTGGTCCTTTTAGTTTTCCTCGTGTGTGTATTTTGCTTTTTTATGATTCCTGTTAAAAACAAATCAAATTAAAAAATCTCAATAAGTAAAATGATATGATTGCTCGAGATATGTATTAAGTATCGGGTACTATGCTTTCAATTAAAAAAGGTATTGAGTCATACCATCTTCTAAAGTGTTAACTCAATCCAACTAAGGGACTGTTCCGATTTACTGAAAACAACTAAACTGAACTGAACTGATTGGGGCTGAACTGAACTGAACTGTTTGTGAGAGAAGGAAATTAGGAAATGAACTGAACTGATTGGAGCTGAAATGAACTAAACTGAATTGAATTTAAGCTGAATAGAACATGCCCTAAGTGTTAATACCCATATGATAAAACTCTTAAACTACGTAGTTGTGGTAATATTTGGTAGTGGAGCCAAGAATTTCTAATCGGGGGGACGACAACTAAATATCACATAGCTTGACAAAATTATTAATAAGAAAATTTAAACACGGAGAAGTTTTATAGTTAAAGTTTTGCAACACAAAAATCCAAAATATTTAGTCACACAATTCAAAAAAAGATGAAAAAATTATACAAAGTTTAATACTTCCATTGTTTCTATTGTGAATTGCTAAATCGCGTCCGGTATTTACCAGGTAACGTCCGTATTTTAACACGATCTTACAAACATGTCCCCTTTTAATTTTACCATAATATACCATTACCCTAATTTACTTCTACCCCTTATAAATTTACCCTATTTTATTTTCACCCCACCGGCCACCAAACAGCCACCACCACCAGCCGCCATCCACCATCCACGACTTGAAATTATTTTTTTTTAAAGAAAAAACTTTTGTCAACAACAATTTACACAAGGGGTGAATGGACGAGTTTACGGAATTGCAGTCGTCGCCGGAGAGGTCACATGTGCGTACGTAATCGGTGAATTTTTAGACCTTTTTTTTTCTAAATTTTCTTAATTGCCAGAGGAACGCCTGATATTTTAGAATCTACCTCGGAACATTCTAAAATTTCAAGCGTTCCTACCACTGTTCGCCTGGTATTTTAGAATGTTTCACGGTAGATTCAATTCTAAAATTTCAGGCATTCCTCTGGCTTCATATAAGAAACTCTTAGAAATATAGTATCATCCATGGGACATAATAAATTATCAGACGAACAATGGTAGGAACGCCTGAAATTTTAGAATGTACCACGGAAGATTCTAAAATATTAGGCGTTTCTTCCGCGGTACATTCAAATTTTTCAGGTGTTTCCTATCTGTTTTGATTTTATTATTATTATGTTATTTAAATATTATTATATCATTATTATTATATGATTTCATGGGTTCTTAAGTAGTTTGTTTTGTGGTTATAGGATTCAGAATCAGAAAATGGCGGTGATGGTGTGAATTACAGTGGCCATTTTCAAACCGACATTGTGTTTCCTAATTTTGATGCTGATGTTGAATGGGCAAAAGATATTTCGCGAACAATCGGAATTTTATTCGTCTCATCGTCGTACAAAAAAACCACTGATGGTCGGCCGTATCGATATTTGGCTTGCGATCGCAGTCGAAAGAAAAGGCCAAGAGATTTGGAGAATGTGATTCGCAAGGACACTAAAACTAAGTCCGTTGGGTGTCCTTTCTACATCAAGATTTATTATGAGAGAAGCACCGACGGTTGGAGGATCCGTGCTAAAAATGATGTAGCCGACACCCACAATCATCCATTCATTGTGTATCCTGAAGGTCATCGACAAATCAGCGGTCTTAGTGCAGGTGCAAAATAGGTTGTGCTTAACTTAACGAGGTCAAAGGTTGCGCCTCGTAATATCATGGCAACCATTATTGAGCAATTTCCTGAAGATCATCCAAACATCAGGCATATCTATAATTGTAGAATTGACATTAGAATGGAGGAGTCTGAAGAAAGAGGAGTGTTTCAACAATTTCTGCATTTGGCTAGAGAGAGTCGCTACATTTACTGGGTTATGGTTGATAACATCGGCGTTTTACAGCATGCATTCATGGTGCATCCGATCACGTGCAACTTGTTACGCACATATTCGTACATGATTGGTATGGGCTCTACATACAAGACAAACAGATACGACATGCCATTCTTTGAGATAGTTGGGGTTACACCGAAAAATCAAAATTTTCTTATTGGATATGTCTTCATGAGAAACGAGACACAAGCTAGTTATCGATGGGTGCTTCAGAGATTGAGGGATTTCATCGGATACCAACGGGAGCCATCAATGTTCTTAACTGACCGTGAGCTTCGACTTTGTGCAGCATTGAAAGCTGAGTTTCCCCACACTACACATTTACTTTGTAGGTGGCACATTAATAAGGACGTCGAAGCTTATGTGACTGGATTGTTCAAGGACAAGACGGTGGGTGCAAAGTTCAAAAATGGTAGATGGAATCGAGTCATGAATGCTACATCTGAGCCGGAATATGAGTTAGCCTTGCAGAGATTGAAAACAAGTTGGGCTTGGTATCCGAAAGTTGTGGAATACGTTGAGACTACCTGGCTCCCTCATAAAGAGAAATTTGTGACGTGTTGGACGAACAAATTTCTGCACTTTGGTAATGTTTGTACATGTAGGGTTAAGAGTCAGCACTCGGCAGTCAAGAGTTGGATGGAATCATCAACTGGTTCTTTGGATACGGTATGGGCTCGAGTACATTGCCAGATTGGAAATCAGATTGTTGGTATACGTAACGCTTTAGAGGCTAGTAGATCTAAAGTAGGTGAGAAGTACAGGCACATGCCATTGCAGCGGCTGAATCAAAAGGTTTCTCATCATTGTTTGTCTGTTCTTTAAGATGAGATAGAAAGAATGAGAGGGTTAAGTTATGAAGTGCATGAGCGTTGCGGTTGTGCTCTACGGATCACCCATGGGATACCATGTGCTTGCCAGATTCATGATTCAATGCGTGTTAAGAAGGGGTTGTATTGCACCCAAATTCATCCATTTTGGCAGAGCCTTGTCATTGGTGATGGTGTTGATATTCCGGAATTCGTTGACGAGTCGGCAGAAGAAGCAACACATTTTCGTTCACTTGTCGACGAGGTTTTGGCTAGTGACCCTGTTACAGTTCGAAATGTTTCTCGCATCATTGAAGATGAAATGCATCCGAATCATTCAGATCTTGAAGAGCCAGAAGTGAATCACTCAACACGGGGTCGTCCACGGGATCATTCAACTAGGCGTAACCGTAGCCATTTTGAGAATGTTGAGCGTAACAGTAGCGGTCGTAGAGGGAGAATGTCGGGCCAACATAGTTCGAGGCAAAACCGTCAAACTGAATCCGGTATTTTATTTTTTTTTGTGATATATATTTTTCTACCAATTATGAATTTTATATTAATTTATTTTCTACCCATTACGAATGTGTATTTTTTTCAGGAGGAAATGGATTCAACATCGAACAATGTAGGTACGCTCACTTGCTTCCCATACCTATATTGCCTTACATAACCGGGTGGAATGATGTCATTGGTGATGGTAATTGCGGCTTTCGTTGTGTTGCCGCTTTCTTCATGGATGATCAAGAGCAATGGAGGTTAGCTCGACAATTCATGGCTAATGAGATTACTGGTTATCCGCACTCATACAGGAGGATTTATTACGAGGAAGGTGGTTTGGATTTTGAGATACAACGTATTTGTTGGAGCGGTGGCCCATGTGGGGAAAGACATTGGATGGTAGCCTTTCAGGATTTGTACGTAATTGCTACCTTATACAATGCAACCGTGATTTGTTATGGCATTGGACAGACACCAACGAGCTACTATCTGTGCATTACTGTGTTACCGTTGCGGGCCCCCGACAATGCTACTGCACCAACTCGAGAGTTTGTTATAGCAACTGTTGGTGGGTCTCATTTTATACTTTTGCAGCTTGACCAAAACCATATGATTCCCCCAATTGCAAATGTTTAGTACCGGGCTCGTGAACCTAACGTTATTGGATGGGAGCAACGATACCAACATAGAATTAGTTTGTGGGAAGGATTAGTCACAACATGATAGATGTAATGCGTTGATTTTTTTGTCTGCACTTTGAATTTTTTTTTTTTTTTTTTTTTGCACTTTGATTTTTTTTTTGTTTTATTTATTTATTTATTTATTATTATTATCATCATCATCATCATCATCATCATCATCATCATCATCATCATCATCATCATCATCATCATCATCATCATCATCATCATCATCATCATCATCATCATCATCATCATTATTATTATTATTATTATTATAAGTTAGCATGCCAAAAATAATTAAAAAAAAACACTAACAAGTAAAGTGCTAATGTCCGTACAAATATTAAAAGTGTCCGATTACAATCAGAAAAACCAAATAATAAAAGTGTCCTACCAACAATTAAACTATTCAACTAAGAATAAAATTGTCTAGCGTAACGCATAACATCCCAATCACGAAGGGCCTCTGTAGCCATGACCTTAGTATGGGTTATTTAAGAGAAGGTATTTTAGTATGTATTTTTTAAAATACGGGCGTTACCCGGTAAATACCGGACGTGATTTAGTACCCCCCTTTTTATTTAGTTGACGCGTTTGTTTTATGCACATATATTAAGGAGAGGAGAGAGGGTGAGAGAGAGAATGATAAAACAAGTGGGGTAGCTTGTGAATGCAAGGTAAAAAACTTACCCCAAAAGGAAACGTGTCAACTAAAAAAAACTTCATAAAAAAGGAATACGTGTCAACTAAAAAGAAACGGAGGTAGTAATAAAATACAACTGGATCCTTTAAGTCTTCATATTTTGAAAACAATCAATGTTTTTTTTATTTTATTTTTTTAAATGGCAAACTTGTAGGAACACATTCTTCCTAATAAGAGTGACCAAATAATCATTCATAAGTTGATCGCAACTGCTATTTCGCAACTTTAATTTTGACATATGTTATTGTGAGGAAGACTCTTTCTGGTCATATCATACATTCAAAATTAATAAGCAATTTAACAGCCCTAATATTGGGATTTAAACAATCATAAAAAAAAGAATAGGGATTTAAACAGTTAAGCAATTATAAAAATTAAAAAGTTTGAATAGCATTACTTCAAAGTGATAAAATTGTGAGTTGAATTTATAGGTTTCTTCAAGGGTTTTCCCTTTGGGAGGATTTTTCTAGCGTCTATTGCTAGATTTATTTTCTTTTTTTTTTAAGGGTTTTCCTTCACTCTTCTCCTTTTCTCTATTTCTTTTTCATTTAAGGAAATTGTTCCGTGTACCCTTAAGGTTTTAAAAAAATGCAACGTGTACCCCTGAAAACTTTCGAATTCACCATGTGTCCCTGATGTTTATAAGAACTTGCACCAAATACCCTAGAATCATATAACAAATGATAATTTTGTTAAATTGAGACCCCATATAGGCTATAAGCATCAAATTCTTTTAAATTGTTACAGTGTAATGCTAGTATAATGCTAAAACATTTAATTATCAAGCAAAATTAATTGATAAATCAAATTCTCACACCTTAAAGTTTAGGATTTAGAATGATCGATGTAGTTCAAATTTCGATGTAATTTATGCTTTTAATTAGGCGGTTTTACTCCGTAAATATAAAGTACTAAAAATGAGTTAGTGTATGGGCATAATTTTAGTTTGACAAGTCAATGATATGTGCATTTGTAAGACGATCGGGGTATGTGGTGCATTTTTTTACAAACCTCAAGGGTAAATGGTGCATTTTAAAGTTTTCAATTCAAGGGTATACGGTGCATTTTTCAAAACCTCAGGGGTATACGGACTAATTTCACTTTCATCTATTTACTGATCCCAATTGTAAATCTTTGTAGGGGCTTCGTCCATTGGTGTTTTTGCTAGTGGTAAGCCCAAATTTTTTTTTAGTTGCTTCAATAAGTAGATTCCATCTTTAATTAAGATGGTGATTGTTCTATTAGGTTTAATCTCTTTATTTGTTCGTCTGCCGAAAGTTGAAGATTTAGAGTTTTGTAATATTCAAAATTATATCTAGAATATCATATGAGTATTTTCACTCAAACACCTATTCATCAGTGGATCTCAACCCGAATTAGTGTTAACTCACAATTGGTATTGCTTCAGATGAAGTTTTTTTTTATTAAGGTGATCATTGATCGAATCTACGGTGTAACTATTTCTAAGGTGATTTGTACTTGTGCTGAAATTTAATATTTCTTAGGAATCGTTTGCATGTGTCATTTGGCTATTCTTCATTAATGAAATCAATTTTCTTCTTGTAAAAAAACAGTTATAAAATTCAAATTTAAACAATCAAGCAGTTGTAACAATTAAAATATTAATTTTTTAAACAGTTAAGCAATTATAAAATCATTCTTGTGGATTACTAGTTTGCTAATTTCTTTTGCCTTTTTTTTTAAAGATACAATAAAAACTTGAATTAATTTTATTTAGATAAGGGAACAACTGTCCTCCATTGCCCCCCTCCCTCCGAAAAAAAAATACAAGCTTATCGTCTTGATAAACAAATTATGTTTATTAAGTGGTAAAAATGTAAAAATCAACAACTTTTTGTCATTTATGGGTCCCATAAGTTTTAATTTATTTACCAAAATATAACATTGACTAGACAAAATGGCTAAATTGTAAATAAATCAAAATTTTTTTGTCATATATGAGACTCACAATTTTTTTATTTACCGAAATATCATGCTGATTAGACAAAATTCTTGATTTATTTACATTTTTTCCACTTGCTAAACAAATCTTTTTTATCAAAGAGATAAACTAAGACTTGCTCCCTCCCTCAGCCTCGTAATACTAAATAACTTTATTTTTTTAGTAAACCTATTGCGATGAAAATTGAAAATATACTTTCTCTACCTTAGTGTAATTTAGATTAATTTTGTCCCTTTGCAATTCTATCCTTGATAATTTTTTAGTTTGAAATAAAAGTGTACCTTATTTAATTTTAAACTTACGCAAAATCAATTAGCCGTAATATATACTTTAAAGAGGTTAAAAAAAACGAGGTATATAATTAAGTCCCCACATAAAACTAATTAAACCAAAAACTCAAGAAGTTAGGCCACTAAAACAAAGAGAGAAAGATTTGAAGCATATTCTTCTCTGACAATACCATATAAATTACCGTTCACTTCACCTTAAAAAATAATATTCTGTTCAGTAAAAATATGTCTAGTTCAATAAAATTAATTTTAATTCAGTAAATATAATTTCAGTTTAGCAAATTTAATTTTAGTTCAGCAATAATTATTTTAGTTCTGTAAAAATAATTTCAGTTTAACAAAAATAAAGTGAATCGAGCAGGGCCTAAGTTTCCCACATGACACTTAGATCAAAGCTGAAAGAGCTAAACATATATTTTTTTTTTTTGGTAAATTGAAAATTTTATTACCAAAAGGATAACAAACTATTACAACTTACCAAAAGCTAAGTTGCAACACCAAACTAATCAAGCCAGCTAGGCAGGCAACCAACCACCCAGCCACCCCTAACAGTTCCTAGCACCATAATGCAACCTTCTAAGAACTAAACATTTTATAGAGCCAAGGAGCTATTCTTTTTTTTTTTTTAGGTAAAGTAAGTAGTATCATTAATCTTTTTTTTTTTTTTACAATAGCAAAACATACATCAAAACTAAATTACACATAATTCGAAAGGGTCATACGGCACTTCCTAGCTATGAAATCCGCCCTTCTCACTTGGTCCCTTTGAACTTTAAGAATTGTGCACCTTTGAAAAGATGCACCCACTTTCTTAATTTCCTTTATTATCCAAGCAATTGAGACATCCTTACCTACACCTTCTTGAATATTGTTGATAAGCACAATTGAGTCCGAAATAATGAGAATCCCTTGCTTACCTTCCTCCTTTGCCCATTTCATAGATTCTAAGCAAGCCCATGCTTCACAATGAAGGGTCGACGCCGCCACTCCAAATTTACCCCCCTCACTAGTTTCATTTCCTTGGTTACCCCTTATGATTGCCCAACCAATCCCAGCCCTTGTTGTTTTCTTATCCCACGACCCATCCACACTTACGATGAAACTATCATAACCACTCCTTTCCTTCCCCAACTGAACTGAGTTGAATCCTGGGGGTAGGTGAGGGTCATCCCTTGACTCAATTATGGCATCATTATTATACTCATCATTTTGGCAGAAAGTTTGATGGTCTTGAATTGCCAAATTGATATATTCGGTGACAAGGCTTGCTCCCCCGTTTACCTCATTGAAGCTCCTTTCATTCCTTGCTTTCCATAGTCCCCACAAAGTAGCAATAAAATTGATGCTACGGGTACCATACTTACCATCCTTGTTATAGCGGCAGGATATAGTGCTGAATCCACATTCGAAGTGAATTGAATCTAGTCAAGTCAGAGAAAATTGCCAGGGATCCATTTTCCAAGACCTCCTTTGCTAGAGTGCATTGTCTGAACAAATGTTGACTGTCCTCCTCTTCCATTCCACAAAAATCACAAAACTCCTCAATTTGTAAGCCCCTTCTAACCAGATTTCCTTTTACTGCAATACTATCATGAAAAAGCTTCCACAGAAAAATCTTCCATTTAGGTTGGATATGCATGCTCCATATGAGCTTTACAAATCTTTCCTCCTCACCCGAAAGAGCCCTATGCCCCGCTCCTTGTTCCTTTTCCAGGAAGTAATAGCCAGTCTTAACAGTAAACCTTCCTGACGGGTGGTGTTTCCAGTATAGGAAGTCATCTTCCATGGCGCAGGGGAGCTCCATTGCCAAAATCGATCTCGCACTATCCCATTCAAAACATTCTCTAACTTTCCCCACTTTCCACGCAGCTGACTCTTTGTCAATGAAATCACTGACCTTCCATCCCAAAGACCCTCTTAGAGTTTGGCTTGAATTTGCAACTGGAATCTCATCATTGACCCAAGGCATGCTAATAGCCTTAATTTTTTCCCTGTTGCCAACTTTCCAGGCAAACCCATTCTTGAATGACTCAGTCACTTTTTGCAAACTAGAACTTCCCATCGAACGATAACCTTTTCTCTCATAAGAACTAGCCAAATTGCATATCCCACAGGGTTGAAAACCTCTGTGAACTCTAGAGAGGAGAAGCTGTGGATGTAAATGCATTCTCGTTGCTTGTTTAAATAAGAGTGCGTTGTTAAGTGTTGAAGTACCTCGAATACCAAGACCTCCCATACGCTTAGGCAATTGAATAGTCGTTCTGTTCACCCAGTGCATACCCTTAACTCCATTGTTAGACCACTAGAACCTTGTGATAAGTGAGTCAATTTTGTTTGCCACACTTTGTGGAAGTTTCAAACATTTCATTACATGTGCTGAGATACTCACCAAGACTGTGTTGATTAAAATAAGTTTGGCAGGCTGGGAGATACGTAAGGAGGCCCAAGAAACAATCTTTTATGACACCTTGTCAACCAGATATTGAAAGGACGTGCTTTTTTTCCCCTGTATATCAATTGGGGCTCCTAGATGAGTCCCCATGTTGCTGGTCTCGGCCATGGACAAAATCCTTTTTAAGGATTCCCGAGTGCTGACATCAAAACTTGGAGCAAACTTGACAAATGATTTTTGTAAATTCAATTGTTGACCAGAAGCACTACCAAACCTGTGCAGGATGTCCTTGATGTGATTACAAGAATCCTCAGTTGCCTTAAAGAAAAGCATGGCATCATCCGCAAAGAATAAATGCAAAATCGAAGGGGATCTTCTTGACACTCTTAACCCCTTAAATTGATTGATATCCTCTGCCAAGGTCAACATTCTTGAGAGGATATCCATACAGAAGATGAATAGATATGGAGATAACGGATCCCCTTGACATAGCCCACACTTAGGGTAGAAGTGATCTGTGGCTTTCCTATTAATGACAGCCTTGAAACTTACCGTCGAGATACACTGAGAAACCATTCTGATCCAGTGGTTAGAGAACCTATATGCTTGCAGAACTTTGAGAAGGAAAGTCCATTCAACTCTGTCATAAGCTTTTGACATGTCAATCTTGACTGCAGCGTAGTTTGAACCCTTTCTCGAGTTTATTAGATGCATAAGTCGTGGCTTAGAAGAACATTATCCTCCATGTATCTCCCTAGAATAAAAGCATGCTGATTTTTAATTATCAGTTTTGGAAGGATTACCTTAATCCTGTTGACCAGACATTTTGAGATACATTTATACACTGTGTTGCATAAACTAATTGGCCTGAATTGACTAGCTGCTTCTGGGACCTTGACTTTTGGAATTAGCACCAGAAGGGATTGATTCCACTCTTTCAGCATGTTCCCCGATTTCAGAAATTGGTGAACACTATCCGTTACCAATTGCCTTACCTCTTTCCAGTATAAATGGAAAAAATCAGCTGTGAACCCGTCTGGACCTAGAGACTTTGATTTGTGCATATTGAAAATAGCATTCTTGATTTCTATATCAGTGAAGGGCCTGTCTAGCCAAAGTCTGTCCTCCAAAGAAATCACTAGGATATCCATTTCCCTTAACAGGAGATCAATTTCTTCCCCATGGTTATCCATGATAACCGGATTATAAACCATCTTGATGGAAGAAAGGACTACATCCTCCACTTCTTTTTTCCCTTCTACCTAATTATCGTTCTCATCTTTCAGAGTAAGAATTTCATTTTTCAGTTGCCTTTGCTTCACTCTCCTATACATTAGGGGAGTAGGGCAATCACCCAATTTAACACAGTTTTCTTTCATTCTTTGCTTCCAAAAATCAAAGCTAAGTTGATTCTCTGAAATTCTTTGGTTTATCTGAAGAGTATAGCCATCCCCTTCTTGGACCGAGTTGATGATTAATCCCGTATTCCGAAGATCTCTTGTCGTTCTCCTACAATTAATACCCCAAATTTTTTTAATTTTTAAGCACCAATATTAAAGCTTAGTTCTTACCATTCTTAGCTTCCTAGCAAGTTGATACATATTTGATCCATTAATTCCAATCTTCCAAGTTGTCTCAACCAACTCTTTAATTTCTGGAAATTTGAGACACCAACTTTCAATTTGATAAGGCCTATTTGAAGTAGGAGCATCTAAATGAGAGTGATAAGTAATTGCCGCATGGTCCGAGCAAATTATTGGTTCGTGAATTAATTTCCCATCCGGAGAGTGCTGGAACCATTCCTCCGTAATATAAGCCCTATCCAACCTCTCAAGGATTAGCCTATTTCCTTCCCTTTTATTGCTCAAGTAAACATTGGTCCGGCGAAAGGAACTTCCGTAGCATTGATACTAAACCGCCAATCAAGGAATGCATAAATTCCTCTAATTATATTTGAACCACCCAATTTATCGCTCCCACTTTCCACTTGGTTGAAGTCCCCTATTACTAGTACATTTTTGAACTCTTCCAAAAACCATTGGAGTTGTTCCCGCACAATTCTTCTATGTTCTACTTGAGGCTCGCCATAAAATAATAGTACATACTTAAAGCTTCCATTAGATTCATTGATCTTACAAAGGATGAAATTTTTTGAGGAGTACAAACATTCTACTACATCACTTGACCAAACTAAAACTAAAAGACCTCCACTACTTCCTTTCGCATTCCAACCAAAAATCGAAGTAGGGTGCCACTATCAAACTTACTTGCCGCATTAACAAAATTCATTTTAGTTTCCGAAAAGAACATAAACATAGGTAGTTTAGATCGAAAGAGCCACACTATGTAGGGAATTGCAAGTGAGTGTGGGTCATTAAAGCCTCTACAATTCCACGCCACAACTTTCATGTCTCTTTAGGGGGTTGGCTTGAGTTATCCATCTCACCCCCGGAAGATATCCTCATCGAATCAAGTAACACCATTTGAAGGTCAATATCCATATCATCCCTAATTTCACGAAAAGCCGAAGTTACTTCTTCACTCTTTTGTCTCCTAAATGATGACTCCGATGAAGAAGAAGAGATTTGTTGATGCCTTTTGTTTTCCCCTTTTTTCTTGAGATCCTCATCTATCTCTACCCCAAACTCACGAGCCATGTCCGGGTCCGAGATGGCCTTAGAAGCAAACTTATTTTCCTCTTTCTCATTCCTTAGCCATATAGCAAAACCCCCTTTTTCCGTCCATCTTTGTAACCGCTTGAACCTTTTCCTTCCAATCCAATCATCATCAGACTCACTATAACGAATCGAATCACCACCACAAGAGTGTGGATAGTTGCCAATTACCTCCCTTATTCTTTTCCTAGTATTAGCACTATCATCATAGTTAAACAAGTCAGTGAAATTAAAAGAGCTAAAAGGCGATACCGGGGAACTTGGTGGATCAAATTCCGTCAAAGGGATATTCGGCAAGCCTGCCAAATCCTCATGCGAAAGCTGTAAAAATGGGCCCGAATTGCCCCTAGCAGTTCGGTGTAATTCCTAAATTTCAGCCTGCCTTGCTTCTCTAATTCCCAGAGTTAAAGTAGTGCTAGCCTCTATGATTCAAGCATATTCCTCATCAGTGAGATTTTCATCTCCCAATCTCATAGGAGTCATGATAGTAGAGCTTGAAATTTCAATGTTTGCAGCAAGGATATTAGTTGGATATCCTCCTCGAAACTGCCATGCCTCACTTCCCAAGATTGCCGCATTATTTATTTCGAAAGCCGCTGAAGTTAAGGCCCAATCTGATATCCCAAGCGCATGGAATATAGTGCCCGGACCCCCTGCTTGAATTTCTCTATTTCTTGCCGAAGACGATTCCCCCACTTCAAAGGTGGAGTCTGCAAAGAGCTGTCGTGCCACCGGCTGCTGACTCACTGGCGGCTGATTCACCGGAGCGCCTCCTTGAGTTGCAGCCTCATCATTGATAGACAGAGATTGAGTCTCACTCCTTCTTATAGGTTTTACCCTATTAGGGTTTGATTGTTGTGGCTGAGTGAACTCGGCGTACGGATCCGCCCCTAATCCCAACCTCCTGCCAGGTGAGAGACGGAGGAGAGGTTACACCGGCGTCTCCTCCTTTTCAATTAATTCCGACTCCCCATTAGATAAGTCCTCCTCTCCCGTTTGATAATTTTCACTATCATCACTAGTTGGTGGAGAGGTGGGTTGCTCATAAGGGTGGCCTTCATCGAAATCCCACCTTTCTCGTGGGACTCTTTGAAACATGGCATCATTCTCATGAAACTCATGAATGCACAGATCGACCCCCGTGTTGCGAAACCTAAACCTGTCCAGCAAACCATGAATATAGTTAGAGTAAAAGGGGTATTCAGCAGGACCGTACAATACCCGAATTCCATCCGCCTCTACATCGTTGAGTCTACGCCGCACTCTCCGCCTTGCCGTTCTTGAGTGAAGAGGACAACGTAGTGTGGAATGTCCTGCACACCCACATGATTTGCAGAATTTGAAAATACCCTCATATAGTAAGTAAACCCAAATCACTTGATTTCCTTTCAATGGGATAAAGCACCCCGGAATGAGTGGGATTGAGAGGTCCACCAACACACAAGCTCGCAACTCTGCGTGTAATGGAAGGTGATCCCCTGTATGATCAATTTCTTCCACATACCGAATATGTCAGAAAATCTGTCTAGCCCACCCCGTGGTGAGGTAAGCTAGAGATAACCCATATACCCTCACCCAAATTCTAGTTAAGGTGAAATTAATTTGGTGAGGAACAAGGTCCCTTTGGTACCTTCGAAAATTGATGATTCGCCCATCAATTATTGTTGTACTGACTTGAACTAAGCTTTCAAAGTCATTCTCAATCTTGCATTCAAACAGAAAATAAATCCCACATCTACGGACTCGAATTTCTCCGCTTTGAATTCATCTAGAATTGACTATATATTGCACGTAATCCTCAGGTGGAGGATATGGCCCAACGAAAATTCCTATTACACAAGCATTGAAGTTAATTGCACTCTCATCTAAATCAAAATCTGGAGGAGGAGGGATTAGGGGGGCCCCTCTTAGATCTAAGTTATCATGCTCATCATGAGCATTTGGAGAGGGTCTGTCGTTTTCCATAACAACAAAGAAAAGGAATAAAGAGTAAAGAGAATTTAAGAGGAGAGATAAGAAAAGAAATTAAGAAAACTAGAGTGTTTGCAGATAGAAGACAGAAGAGAGGAATAATCAGAAGAAGTGAGATGAGTTTAAGTTTTGAGAAGTTCTTCTCATTTATAGCCAAGAGTGAGTTCTTGAGAGTTGAAACGCTGTGAGCATGGGGAAAAAGGGCCGTGAAAATTTAATGCCTATTACTATAGCCGCCTA